GGTGGTTCACAACCATCTGTCATGAGATCTGGTGCCTTCTTGCATGCAGGTCTGCAAACAGACAGAACATTGTATACATAATAAATAAATAAATATTTTAACAAGTCAAGTAAATGTAACATATTGGTTATGTTGAGAGGAAGGAGTTGCCTTCATATATCACCATGGTAATGCTGATTGGTGCTACATCATGGCAGACTTTTACTAAGATCATTAATAAATTTATAGCTGGTAAGATGGCTCAAGGGATAAAAGTGCTTGCCACTAAGCCAAACAACCTGACCTGAGTAGGATCCACGTGGTGGAGGGAGAAAGCCAATCAATTCTGGAAAGCTGCTCTCTGACCTCCACCAAGGTGACATGGCATCAGCACTCACAAAGCCATACACACAGTCACACACACACACACACACACACACACACACACAGAGAGAGAGAGAGAGAGAGAGAGAGAGAGAGAGAGAGAGAGAGAGAAAGCCTGTTTTAATTAGCTTTTGAATAATGTTGGAATATTTCTAATGGTATAATGTTATATATATATATTTTAAAAGATAACATGATACCAGAAAAAAAAGGATTAAACAACACTTACTACTGGGTGATAATGTAACATAACAAGAGATCTCAATTATCTTCTTTTTATTTCCAAGTAGTTTTATTTTATTTTTTTTAAATTTTATATGTTAGTCAGAATTTTCACACATGACAAGCCTTTGGAATTTAGATTGTGCTCAAGAGAGAAGTTAATAAGAGCTAAGGTGGACTTGGCTTTAAATCGAAGAATTTATTTTTCATTTATAGTGTTTGAAATTTATTTTATTTTATATGTATGAATATTTTGTCTGTGGTGTAGCTACACTGTGTACATGCCTGATACCAAATGAGGCTAGAAGAGGGCAGCCCTAGAGCTGGAGTTTCAGATAGTTGTGAGAAATGTGGATGCTGGGAACTGAACCCAGGACTTCTGCAAATACCGTAAGTGCTCTTAATGCCTGGGTCATTGACCAACCAGACCACCTCCATCTTAGGTTTAAAAGCCTTCTTATAGTAAAGAAAAACTAGGTTCATTTCTGAGTATGATTAAACCTCTGTTTCTCAAGGATTGGGCTATGCTCCCTACTGTAATCTTAACTACAAATGATTCTGTTTTTCCTGTTCAGGAATAGTAACAGTATCTTTGGTTCAAGAAGTTGTTTATAACCATCTTGCAGCCCTAGAGGTTATATGACCCTTTATGATTACCTTATTATGACTACCTGTTGTGCTTACCTTGTTTTGACCATTTGTTATGTTCTTTCTGCTCCTGTAACCCCACCTATTTTCCCCCACTTGGAAACCTTCTACCGCTGAACTCTATAAAAGCCTTGTATTCCTCACATCTAGTGCTGCACTATGAAATCCTGACTTTGGAAGAAGTATACAGCTGACTAAATACAGCTTGTTTAAACCAGATAATCATGGAATTTCCCCTCCCTCAAATCAGGTCTAACATGATTTCTCAAGTCCCAAACTGTAGACTTTAAAGGTTTGCATTTAAAGAAAGTTAAGTCCTGGCTTCTCTGCACTCAGGAGATGAAATTAACATAGTCATTCCTCAGGATTTGAAGTAATAATGTTCTATAAAACTCTCATGATCCCTTAATTAGCAAGTCCTGAACAACTGGCTCTTCGTGGCAATCTAAGAATAGATTCCTTCAAGTCTCTGGCAACAATGTTTTTGTCATCCCATCTACGTCTGCCTCTATTATATGTGTGTTTTGATTAAGGACCCCATATGCCATCTATATTACATGCTAAAGTTAATGAACTCTCAACCAACAGTATAAAATCATACTAAAGAAGTTTACTGAATGCATGTATGTTCTCTTTGAGCAAGGTACACTAGCAGCCTTCTGTAAAGGAATGCTAAATAGAACGGTGTGCAATGCTCGGGAACCATTTTGAATAGGAAACTTACCAAAAAGCAGGAAAAGATAAGAAACGTGCCACTAAGGTTGTTATAAGGACACTGGCCCACATTATGAGAGCTGAAACAACAAAGAGGGCACCATCTTGTTACACCTCACCTGGAAAGAGATGAACTGGGAAGATCTAACACCCTGAATTATCATCAAAGCTCTGCAAGGGTTGACTTGGCAATGAACAATAAGTTTTCCAAGCAGGTGAACTCATAAATACAAAATCTACAAACAATGAGGATAAAATGTAATTACAGCTATTCTTGAAGGGAAAACTCTTAATCAAGAGGAAAGCACCGAACATCACCATCTGTAGATAAGCTTCTTCACCAAGTTCTGTGATTTATGAGGTAGTCCTTCTAGGCACTTGACATAATGGAAACAAGAACAATCTCTTCAGCAGCCATCCCCCCCCATTAATTAATATATTTATTCACTTTACATCCTGATCATAATCCCCTCCTCCCTCTCCCCCCAGTGCCACTCTCACACCCCTGCCCCCAGTCCCCTTTCCCTTTCTCCTCAGAGAAGGGAAGTCCCCCATGGGTACCAACCCACTCTGGCTTTGACATCAAGTCAAAGCAAAACTATATGCATCCTCTCCCACTGAGACCAAACAAGGCAGCCCAGCTAGGAGAAAGAGATCCAAAGGCAAACAACAGAGCCAGAGATAGCCCCTACTCTCATTGTTAGGGACCCACATGATTACCAAGCTGCACATCTACTATGTATGTGCACGGGGCTTAAGGACAGTCCATGCATGCTCTTCGGTTGGTGGTTCAGTCTCTGTGAAGTTCCACAGGCTCAGCTTAGTTGACTCTGTAGGTCTTCTTGTTGTGTCCTTGACTCCTTCTGGCTTCCTCAATCCTTCCTGCTAGTCTTCCATATGACTCACTGAGCTCCACCTATTGTTCGACTGTGTGTCACTTCGACAGTCATTTTGTTTAATATAGTCATTGTCTTCAACAAGAGCCAGCTCCTGAGTATCCCTACATGGAGAACACAGAGAAGTGTAGGCTAATGTACACCACAACAACTTATAATCCTCCTAAGCAGGGTAAGGGAAGGTTGAGACAGCTTCTGACTCTAACGATGGTAGCTCAAAGCTAGCATCAAGGTATACATGTATGTTAAACTGATACAAACATTACGCCATACAGATCAAATGAATTAGAAAGTGCATCCTCTTGGGGTTGTTTGGAAAACATGATGTAGGTACTAATATGTAAAAAAAGATTAAAGGATTTGTAAGATGGCAACCAGAGTTCTGGAGTTCTGGACAAAGGCTTGGAATCCAATACAGGTATAAAGAAGGTGAAAGCATGGCTCCCATTGTTGATGTAAAGTAAGACACAGTACAGCCAGTGTGTTAGCAGAGAAGAGAACTCGAAGTCAAATGGCTAAATGATGGCAGATTTAACTAGCCTCATCTTGTTCCTGGAAGTTTCTTGGTTAAATCTTTCCAAGGTTAAATACTGTGATCAAATCTTCCCCTGTCTGTTTTTATGTCCTTAACTAGAATACATATGGAAGCAAGCAGGGCTCAAGCCTCATTTTTTTAGCTGCATTCTCTGTCTTCTACCAACACTTCCCAACATACAGCACATCCCCAACATGTGAAAGATCAGCCTCCACCAACCCTTGCATGCAATAAGCCTGGGGTAAATATTTACTAATTCACTACTTGGCTTTATGAATACACTAAGCCTTTAAGAAGGCCTGCTCTGTTTACCATGGATGTGGGTGGTTCTCATGGACAAATAGCTAAACGTTGTAATGTCCCCCAAGTTTTCCCAGAATATGTGTAGAGAAGTGGAGTCATTGAAAACGGCACAATATTACATTACCCATCTTTATTTCCTATCTAACTAAAACAAAAAGGTATAGTAAAAAGAATCTCCAAATTTTGTAATTAAATTCATAAATATGTGATTACACCATTTCTTTAGTTATTCACATTAGATCCTAATCATAGTCCCCTCCATCCTCTATTTCTACTCCCTCCCCTCCCTTCTTCCCTATTTCCCCTACCCTCTTCCCCTGTCCCTCAGGAATGGGGACCCCACCAATAACCCACACCAGCACATCCAGTCACATCAGTACTAAGTACTTCCTCTTTCACAGTGTCCTGGCAAAGCAGCCCCACCAGGGAGAAGTGATCAAAAAGCATGCAACAAAGACCAGGTCAGAGACAGTTTCTGTTCCCCTTTCTAGGGGACTCACATGGGGACTAAGTTGCCCATTGGGTATAGATACATAGAGAGAAAGGGCCTAGGTCCAGTCCATGCTTGGATCTTGGTTGAAGCTTCAGTCTCTTCAGGGTCCCCTGGTCCCAGGTTAGTTGGCAGTGTTGGTCTTCTTGTGGAGTTCCTTTCCCCTCTGGGTCCTTCCATCCTTCCTCCACTCTTCCACAAGGATCCTTATGCTCCACTCTATGTTTGGCTGTGAGTCTCAGCTTCTGTTTCAATCTCTTGTTGGGTAGAGCCTCTCAGAGGACAGCCATACTAGGATCCTGTCTGAAAACATAGCAGAGTGTCATTAATAGTGTCAGGGGTTGGCTCTTTCTCATGGAATGCGTCTTAGATTGGGCCAGGCATTGGTTAGGCATTCCCTCAATCTCTGCTTTATCTTTGCCCCTGCACATCTTGTAGGCAGGGTAATTTTGGGGTTGAAGATTTTGTGGGTGGGTTGGTGTTCCCCTCCCTCCATGAGGAGACCTGTCTGGTTAGAGGGTGGCCTCTTTAGTTTCCATGACAACCACTTTTAGGAGTCTCAGCTAGAATGACCCCCAAGATCCTCCCAGATATGGAATTTTAAGGGTTAAATTTTGGCTACCCAATTCTAACTCTTTAGAAGTTAATACAATACTCATTGAGTTCTTAGATTATGTGTTGGTGTTTATGTTACACGAAGTTAAACAATTTCTGTATAATCTTGGGATTATAAATTATTTAATCGTACCTTGTGGCATGGTGGAACCCAGGTATCTGTCTGTCTTTCTTTTCCCATGCTGTGCTGCCTGGATTTGATTTGATTTGATTTTTATGAGTCCTGGGCATAAAGCAGATTTAGCCACAAAACCAGGCATCAAGCTAAGATGAACAAAGGACTGCCATCTGCTCTGCCCCTGACTGATAGAAAAACAACATCAAAGAGGTATCTCTTTGCTCATTGCCAGGGGGATTAATTATATATTTTTAATAAAACAATTATTGTTCTTTATTAACTTCTCAGATAGAAATGTCAGCAGGACACAAATTAAATATTATTGAAAATAGTTAAATTTAAATTTGAGTATATTTCATATAAAATTGCTATAACAACTATATAGCAGCCTATAGCAAGAAATGTATGAATTGATTTTTGCCTATATTCATTGCTTCTGATTAAATTTTCTATCAGAAGTAAAAATCGAATTTTTAAAGACACATTTTACATACAATCTCTGTGTTAGTATTTAGATAAAAATGCTGTGCACACAACCAATCTTAAATCAAATGAGGTTTATTGGATGGAGATGGAGGCAGGGAGAGAGACATGGTGGGGGAGCACCCGACAGAGAGGGGAGAGAATATAAGAGAAGGGAAGAGGAAGAGAGCAAAAGAGAGGCAGAAGTGGCCTACAGTTCACTATGTACCTGGCCCAAATGATCTCATAGGAAGGACATAGGACGTTGTCAGGTCCCTAAGGAAGGACCAGTTGAATTGCCTGCACAATATAACATTCCTCCCTTTTTGTTTAATTAAAAAATTAGGAGCTTGGGCTGCTTCTCATGTATGGCAAGGTAAAGGGTATAAATGTAGGTTTATTGGAAGTAGTTCTTGGTCACCATGCAAGGGGATAAAAGAGAGAGAGAGAGGGAAAGAGGGAGAGAGAGGAAAAAAGAGCTCCAAAATGTCCAGATTACTTGGTGAGGAGGAAAATGGGAAGCCCTTTCACTGGAAAGTTCAGGGCAGAGGGTTGCCAGTAGAGAGTTGCCAGCTGTACTACAGCAGGTAGAGCCTGAAGACTGCTGGGAGAACTTTGAGCTACTTGTCTTGGGCCTGAAGCACACCATTCCAGCCTTTTGTGAGTAATAAGTGAATAATGGGAATAGATTCTCTTCTGGCTATTTCCTGCTGACACTGGGGATGCTGTGGGGAGGTCAAAAGGCTGAATTGCTGACCAAGCCCAGGAAGAGTAGGCTGTTTTGATGCTGTCCAGGGTCTGTGAAAACATCCGTGGCTGGGAGTGAAAGTTCAGGTCAGGCTTGACACAGTCTGCAAGGTTAGACTGGAGCACCTGTGGTTGCTGCTTTGGCTCTGTCATGGATGTAGGAAATACCCGGGTCTGGCAGGATACTGGAGCATATATATAGGCATAAAAACAAAGTTAAGTAGGTTATGGAAAAATTTCTTTAGGTGTATATTTTTTTTAGATATACATGTGAAACTTTTTGGGAGAGTGAACAGAGACGGAAGAAGAGACTTGAACATAGGAACCTCCATTTACCCAGGGGAACCTCCATTTACCCGATCGCTGACAGTAATTTAAAAGATTTTGCTTTGGATCTGTCATCTAAAGAAATTGAGGCCAAGTTTGGTTGCAGAATCATGTGAACCTGGAGGCCCCTAATGTGGACACTAGGTGTTCAAATCTAAAATTATTTAGAAGGCATCTTGGAGGACAGCCTAGGGACATGATGGAAGATACAATTTCCATGGATGAAGAGAGAAAAGTCATTTTTGCCAGTCTTTGGAGTGTCCCACAAAGTACAGAACCAGAGGTATGGGGGCACAAGCTGGCAAAGCAGGTCATCACAAGCAGTGAGTGCCAGGGACCACAGGGAAGACTCCCAGGAGACACAGCTCACCTAATACTAGGATTTTCCAAGGCACACCCAACATGCAAGAGGAAAGAAAAAGCCAGGAGAGATCAGACCATCTCACCAAAAAGAACAAGATTATTCACCTAAGGGAAGGCATCTGTGTGAGGATTGGTGAGAAGGACGTGTACCTCGTTCCCCAGTGAAACAGAGATACTGGTCAGTCTCTCAGACAAAGGAGAAAGTTTAAGCCAACCATGAAAAGGAACTCATCAATCTGCCAGTGTTGGATGTATGGATGTGGCGATTGGCCAATAAAGAGGAGTAACCAAAACCAGCAAAAGTGGGGGAGGAATCCCACCTTTTGAGATAAACAATAATTGCAGTACTTATCTGGAGCCCAAGTGACCTGAGAGATGGATTCGTGTGGATTTTCTGCAGCTTACAAGAATCTCTTTTAAGTTTTACAAAGGAGATAAAATTTTAGACATGTTAGCATCACCATTATAATATGCATTGAACTATACATTGTAGAAAAGGCAGTAGACATACAACTTTTTATTAACAGCATAAACATTGTTTTAAGGTGAGCTCTGCAAAGGCAGAGACCTTCCGTGAAGTAGAAGGGGCAAAACCTCACTTGACCTTAACTTTTAGAATGATTATACATTACCGAAAAGAGGCTTAACCAATTTTTAAGTTTGCATTTACCAACCTTAAAACACTTTCTTAGACCCTCAAACATTTATAACTTGCATTTACCAACCTTAGGTTTTTGTATCTAGTTATTTACCATGAGACATATGTGAGACTGCTATGAACATTTATTGTCCTTTAGTTAAAGGGATGGTAAAAGGTTACATCTGAGGCCTGTCTTTTGAGTCTGATAGCAAACAAGACTGTCTAGAACTAAGAATAACAACTCTGAATAAGGCTTAAGGCCTGGTCTCCTGCCTATGAAGAGAAATGAGAAGGCATCTGAAGTCTCCCAACACAGAAGTTGGCAATATGTCCGTGGGGCCAGAGTGTGAGGCCCAAACAGACCTGCCTGCAATGTTACCCTGGGCTGGGTGAGGGTGGTGGAGGTTGTTGAATCTAGAAGCCATTTTTTTCTTCCAGGCCAAGGATCTGGAAGGCTGAAAGTGTCTGTGGCTCTTGTGCTGGTTGAGCCTCCATGGCTGGGCATAGAGGACAAACCTGCATGGGAGCATTTTGACTTCTGAAGGCCAGTCTGTCAGTAGGCAACCATGGCTTGTTGAGGCAGCTGCAGGACCAGTGTCTCCTTTGGCTGCATTTGAAATAGTCACCTGGTGGAATTGACTTTTGGCTATACCCCGGAAGTATGGGGCATTGTAGACCTCTTGTTTTCTTTACGGGAATGCCAAAAGCCTCAGAGCAGCAGCCAAGGTCTGGAGCATAGTTTTTGTTGTAGATGAGTCTGTTGGGAAGGCTCCTCTCATTATTTTTACCAATTCCTATATGGTGACTCAAGGACCATCCTCAGCTGTTTGTTAAAGCTGGCAGTGAGACCATGTTTGCATCTGTAGGACTATAAATATATATTTTTGACTCGTTAGAAGACTTGATCATCTATGAGAGGACTGAATATTAACTTGCATTCATTAATCATCAAATATTAGGACTTAAGTTTTGTCCCTGTTAAGTTGGAGCCTTAAAAGCAATAAACATAGTCCATAGCTTATAAAAGTTTAAGGCTATACTATAGATTAATAATGTTATCATAGTTAGAAAATAAGGCCAAGCATATTTTAAACTTAATAGTGAAGATAAAGCACAATGACCAAGTTTTAACACAAATAAATAAATGCCTCAAAAATTAATAGATCTTACTTTAGAGTATTGGTAAAAACTTGCACGTAGTAACCCCTGGGTTATGAGTTTTAAAACCAACAATATAGAAGAACAATATAAAGCAATTTTAAAATTACATTTGAATATATTATATAAAACCCATTGGCTGGAAAGCCTAGTGGTGAATCCAGATCACAAGCAGCTTGCAGTGGGAAAAACAGCATTTATTAATGTAGTAACTGATAAAGACATAGGCAGTTAGACATATATTTTAAATTAGCTTAAATCTGAATAAATCTTTATAACCTTGAAATTTTAGCATTATATAAAAATTATTTTGAACCAGGGTATACACACACACACATAGCATGTTGTAAAAATATAACTTTAAATTTATATAAAAATCTATAACCATTTAAAATGAGACTTGTTGCTTTTAGTCTAAAAGGAGACAAAAATAAACAGTTATGACTAAGGAAGTCTTATAAATGTAAACCCAATGAGTAAATTATATAAAATGTTAGATAAGAATTTACAGCATTTATATATAGAGAGAGCAGAGTGTACAAAAATCAGGAAGAAAAGATTTTTAAAAGCTGGTGAGAGAATTAAAAATTAGTTTTTTGGGGTATTGGTTGGTTTAAAGTTTAAAGCACAAGCCTGAACAAAGGCCAGCCAGATGGAGACATCTCTAGCCACCTAGGGGAGGAACTAGCTTTATCGCATTCTTTTCCTGCCCACTAGAGATACAGTTGCTAGGAAACAGGCCTAGATGGCTAGGGTAGAACCATTTATGGACTTGACAAGTAAAATAAACCAATCATTTCAAAAGTCAATTTCCCTTACCCAATCATGTAATGCCAAGACATGTTATTCAATGCTTGCAGCTTTGCCCTTTAAAAACTTTGTTCCCCTAGACCTCCAGGCCGCACTCCTCCTCTTCATCAGGGAGGTTGCTGAGACCTGGGCTCAAGCTTGAGTTAAATAAACCCTCATGTGTTTTACAGCAGAGTGGATTCCTGTTGGTCTTTGGGGGTCTCACGAACTGGACATAACACTGGGAAGTAGGGGCTTAAAAGTCAGAAATATTTTGAGAGCCAGTTTAGAAGCGAGGCTTGGAGATTTGCAGAAGCGGGGGAGGGGTTAACTCATGGTTCTCCTCTATTTTAAAATCAACATGGCTGCTTGCCATGTGAGGTGCAGCCACCATGGCATAGTGAGACCAGGGTTGCAGAACCCAGGGCCTTGCTGATGGCTTAAGGGTCCCTGCCGGACAGCAGTTCTAAACTTTCTGTGTGTGGCATGGCTGATCGGGTGTTGGTGCAATTAAAAAACCCTGCTCCACATATAAGGACATAAGAGAGGCAGGAATTTAAAACCCTAATTCCTGGGGCCAGAGGCGGTGGCAAATTTTAAAGCCATTTGAGGGTAGTTTTGCAGGGTTTTTTCATTTGTTTGTTGTTTTTCCCTTCTGTGCTGTGAGGGAGGGTCTCAAGGCCTGGCTTACATAATAGTGAAGTCCAGCATGAGTGAGCTGAAAGAGCAGAGCAGATGAGGGGGTCTGCGAGAAAAAGTTCTGAGTGACAGATAAGTGTGGCAGCGTCAGTGGCAGATTAAGTGATCAAGAAAAGAGGAGGAGATGAGGGTGCAATAGAAAGATTTTTTTTTTGTGGGCAGGCAGGCATGTGAAGAGGGGTCCTGGCTTGTCTGAACATTGTTAGAAGAGGCCCTTCCAGGTTTCAGTACTAAATGTAGGGATTTAGATAAAAATGCCATGCATGCAACCAATCTTAAATCCAATGGGGTTTATTGGATGGAGATGGAGCTGGAAAGAGAGAGATGGAGGGGCACCCCGACAGAGGGAGGGGAGAGAAAACAAGAGAAGAGAAGAGGAAGAGAGAGGTGGGAGTGGCAGAAAGATGACTATGTACCTGGCCCAGATGTCGTTATAGGACATAAGTACTGACATAGGATGTTGTTAGGACCTTGAAGGTCCCTAAGGGAGGGCAGTTGAATTGCCTGCACAACATAATACTTTGTACTTACTCTTTCAAAACCTTGGTATGGAAATCCTCCTGGCCTTCCTCCCTTAAATTCATCAAACAGTTAAAATGGATCCAGATTTTTCAACTGTAATAATAAAAATTGACATGTTAGACATGGCTTTTAAGTCATACTATAGGGGCTACATACATAAACATATCTAACAAAATTCATTGAAGATTGTGCAGCCACTGTGCATTTCTAAAATGCAAATTATATTCAGGAAGAAACTATGCACCACTTGAGGACTCATTGATTACATTAGAATGGACACTGTAAGAAAAGAGCAAAGAGTGAAAAAACATTTCATGATTATCTACAATACAGTCAAGTAAGTCATGATCAGTCTGTAACAGATTCTTAGCCTCATGAGATAAAAGTTTATAATAAAATCAATAACTGCAAAGTGTTTATGAGTGCCCTCAAGGAAAACAACTTCGCACATATGAGAACAGGTGACATCAGGGAGTTGACTACCAGGGAAGCCACTCTTGAGCTGAGTCTTAAAGTGATGTTGGAGCTAATTGAGTGGAAAGGAGAGAAGGAGGAATGTTCCAGAAAGAAGAGGAGTAAAACAGATTGCTGTGCTTGACAAAGTCTCTGCCTATCACTCATTGGAATTTCAAGTGCACATAAAATTAAAATTTCCTGAATATTCTTACACAGAAACAGATATGTTTCAAACTTTTATTTAATAAGCTTTTAGTTTCTTCTATCAACTATAAGCTACTCATATGTATGTGCATATATATATATATATCAATTCTTGCTTTTTATTAATGGCTGAAACAGGAATGTCATCAGTGATACAAATCAAATGAAAAGAGTATGTAAATTTTACTATATTTCATTTAAAATTAATATTATACCTCTATAATAAACATAGAATTATGATGAGCAATGGGCAAGAATAGAGGTTAAAGTTTTTGGCTTAGTTCTCATTTTGTATCTCAGACTGGCATCAAGCTCTCAATACTCCTGCCTCCATATCCTAAGTGTTAGAATGAAAAGTATGCAATACCATTCCTAATTATAGTTCAAATCTTTTTTTTAGTTTTTTAATTAATTACAATATATTCAATTTGTATCCTAGCTGTAGCCCCCTCCATCTTCCCTTCTCAATCCCACTCTCTCTCTCTCATCTCCTCCCATGCCCCTCCCCCAGTCCACTCATAAGGGAGGTCCTCCTCCCCTTCCATCTGATCCTAGCCTATCAGGTCTCATCAGGACTGGATGCACTGTCTTCCTCTGTGGCCTGGTAAGGCTGCTCCCCACTCAGGGAAATGTGATCAAAGAGCCAGCCACTGAGTTGTTGTAAAGAGATGGTCCCTATTAACATAACTAGTGAACCTACTTGGAGACTGAGCTGCCAGGGGCTATATCTGTGTAGGGGTCCTAGGTTTTCTCCCTGCATGGTCCTTGTTTGGAGTATCAGTGGCAGAAAAGACCCCTTTGCCCAGCATTTTTGGTTCTGTTGCTCTCCTTGTGTAGCTCCTGTTCCCTCCAGGTCTTTCTATCTTTCCCCTTATCCAAAGGGGATAAAATCCCCTTTGGATCTTATCCTGAAGGTGATGGGTTATAGTTGGGAGTTGAGATAATTAGATTTTTAAAAAGTCATTCTATAGACAATGACAGATATTCAATATTCTGTGCAGGAGCAAGGGCCAGAAATAAGATAGTAGACACCCTTCATAAGATTAAGGAGCTGCCCTTCCATTTCTAGTTTATTAAGTTTATCAATGGATTTTGAATTCAGTTGAGCTAATTGTGTCTCTTTTTCTCCTTTGTCTCTTAATATGGATGAAGATGAAATAAATATTTATTGCTTGTGGTGCCAAAAAGATTCACATAGGCAAATTAACTGCTCTCAAATAAAGTGTGAAGACAAAATGTTCCCTCTTTTCAGTCTACCTTTGTCACTATCAGCCACCAACAGAATAGTATTTATTCACTGCTACTGCTCTGGAATGAAAAATCTCAAAATATGGAGGCAACTTTGGGCATTGGGTAATAAGTTCAAGGCTAGAAAGCTTTTGAGATTCATCCTAGACAAAAACAAAGCTACACTATTGTCATTAGAGTGTGAAATTTGGAGGGCCAAAAGGAATGGAGGAAAGCCACAGACAGCAGCCCAGTCCTCTTAAACACTAGAAGAACAATCCCGAATGAAATGTTAGAAGTAACAAGCACACATTATTTCTCAGAAAGAAATGAAGCACACACTGGAAGCTGGAGGAAAGGTGATCCTGGTTACAAAGCAAAGAACGTGACTGAATTATGTTCTTCTCCTTGTGTTTAATGGCTAGCCAAAACTTCAAGTAATGAAGTTAGATATTTAACTTAGATAAAGGTATTTTAAAGAAAGCACTGGAGGTGTGACATGGTTCCCTCTGACCATGTGTAGCAGAATGTAAGAAGAGAGAAATAATACACAGAATGGTTAGTAGTTTTAGTCCCCAATTCAATCACATCTCTTTTCCTTTCTTTCTTTCTTTCTTTCTTTCTTTCTTTCTTTCTTTCTTTCTTTCTTTCTTTCTTTCTTTCTTTCTTTTTTCTTTCTTCTTCTTCTTTTGTTTTTGTTTTTGTTGTTGTTATTTTGTTTTTCAAGACAGGGTTCTCTGTGTAGCTTTGGCTGTTCTGGACTCACTTTGTAGACCAAGCTGGCCTCAAACTCACAGAGATCTACCTAGTCTGCCTCCCCGAGTGCTGGAATCTAAGGCATGTGCCACCACATCTGGCTTCCTATATGTTTCTTTTCTTTCAAACACTTCCAAATAAATTTGAAAGGTTTGGAAAATATTCAGCCATCTTGTAAAGAATGAGAAGGAATGTCATCAAGATTGTGGCCAAATAGCTATTTGAAAAAGAGCCATCTAAACAGAATACAGGAACTACTGCCCAAAACAATAGAACAATTGGTCCTTTGTCTTTATCTTAGTTCACTCAAGGTGCTTTCACAAAATGTCATAAAGTGAGTACCTTCAAAGTAACAAATGTAAAATATATTTCTTATGGTGCTGGAAGCTCAGAGGTCCAAGATTAAGATGGCAGCAGCGTTAATGTCTAATAAAATCTACTTTCTGATTCATAAGCAATACCTTCTAGCTGTCTTTACATGATGGCAAGGTCCAGTTAACTCTCTGTGATCCTCAATTAAAGGATATTAATGCCAGATGTGCATATTTCAGCCTCATGACATAACTTCTAAAGACACTGCCTGCTAATACCATCAATTTGAAGGCTAGAATCTCAAACTTGGATTTGGGGAAGGACACATACATTTAAACTGTATCAGTATATTTCTTGATTCATTGCACATTGGCTTCATCCAGTCACCAATCTATGCCATATGAACACACCCAACTTGGTATAAGTAAAGGCTACAGAATCCAGGTAGCTGATCAAGAGTCACAGAGATGAACTGTTCAACTGGCCAGAAGACAAGAGTCATGAATAAGAAATGCTCCAATAAACAAGAGTATATTGTATTAGACTGTTGTCCTGAAGTGCTACTTGCAGCAGGGCTGAAAATCAGTTCTTACCCATCTCCAAGCATTTATCATGATGTGTGCAACATGTTCAACAAACGTGGTCCATGTGTCCACAAGAACAGACTTCTGTGAGAACTCTGATTTTCTAAAATGTTTTTTAAGTCCCCAATTCAATCACAGCTCTCTTTTCCTACGTGTTTCTTTTCCTTCAAACACTTCCAAATCTGTTAGCTGCCAAATTTAACTGGCAGCTTCCAAGATTGTTCTTTCAACATCCTCAGAACTCCAAACAAAAACCTGTGGCCACCAACCCTCTAGCCTGTAGCAACCACGTAATAAATCTCCAACAGGCCAGCAGGTTTGGGAAGTCAGGAAATACTGGAAGTGCCTATCAGAAATGCGGGCCTTTGGAGATAGGACTGATTCTTTTCAAATGACCCTCTGTCGAGTCCAGAATAATTCTAATTATGCTGAGTGCAGTCCATAAACTCTGTTACTTTTGTTAGATTCTTTAGCCTCTTGTAGCTTGGTTCTATGACTGAATCTGGCTAACACATGGCAATCCCAGAGTGGAACCTAGGGAGCTATCCTTATCAAATGAGGATGAACAGTTAATATCTGTCCTTTTGTTTTTTGTTCTCTTCAGAGGGCAGGTGGTGGTTGTTATTGCCTTATCAAACATCTATTTGATAATATCAAGGAATTCTTTGAATATTGCAATATGATAACAGGGCTATAATTACATTTTATCATCCTCTCTTCTTGTATCATCTCCCTCCACATCTTTATATTAATTTGTTAGCAGGCAAAGAGAAAATTTTCACTGTGTTATTTTCATGTATCAGGACCCGGAACATTCATTGTACTACTTTTTTTAGTTTTCTTTGTTTTAAGTTATTCTCTTAAGTAATTAAATAACCTAAAGAGAATCACATTCTACTAAACAGTATCTGGTAGAATCAGGCAGCATAAAGACGTGTACAGATGAATGATGGGTTTCTCTCCTTCTGGGAGCACAGAGGAACCACCTCCCACCAACTTACTACTTAGTCATTCCAACTCCGAAACTATCTAGCCTGGTGCATGGATAACGGTATTGAAATATACAAGCCAGCCCTAGCCTATCTCGTCTTTGTTGCTAATCATGGAAAGGCTCATTGTAAGTTCCTCTTCAACTTCCGCATTTGCATTGGTAGGAAGAAAAAAACAAAAACCTTGTGGCAGTTACTAAAGTGCAGCACATTTGCAGCTTCAATGCAAAAATAGCTTTGTAACTCAAACTTTCTAGTTCTTCTTTGGTGCATAAACTTTGAACAGTAACCTATTTAATGTAGGCAAATGCCTTCATTCTCTGCTGGTGGGGATGGAGGGGTCTATTTTTCTGTAGAGTGTGGAAATATCTTAACAACATCAACAGTCAAAATTAGGACCTTGAGCATGAGAATGATGGTAGGCTTACAGTGAAAAGGTGAGTAATTTTTAAAGTGATGTGTATGAGGAATTTATAATAACACAGAAATCTCCTGTATCGTCATGTTAAGTGAAAAACTTCAGGACACAAAACTGTAACTTCTATGTAATCCTCATTGATGTAGAACAATGGTTCTTAACCTGTGAGTCAGGACCCCCTTAGCAAACTATCTCCAAAAATATTTATGTTTCAATTCATAACAGTATGAAAATTAGTTATGAAACAGCAACAAAAATAATTTTATGGTTGAAATCATCACAACATGAGGAACTGTATTAAAGGGTCACAACATTAGGAAGGTTGAGAACCACTGAGGTAGACAGAACACACTTGTTTGTAAACACCTTCATTCTCATTTGTAATTAAATAAAGTTGATGACATTCAGAATTATTCCTCTTTCTTCCATTAGGGTTACAGAATACCTGTGACACAGGAGACCTGAATTTAAATACCATATCAGGGTCTTGAACAATGTACGTTTCAGTCAAGCATTGTTATATAGGATAAAGTATAAAATTTAAAGATGTAAAATTGTATTGGGGGAAAATTACATCTTTGCTTCCACTAACTCGTAATTTTTTTCTGAAATTTTATCATAGTAAAATATACATCAAATGAAATTTATCATTTTGGAAGGTTTTTTATTATTTTTTTAATTTTATTTTTTTCTTATCAGTTACATTTTATTAACTTCTGTATCCCAGCCGTGTCCCGATCCCTCATTTCCTTCCAGTCCCTCCCTCCCTCCCTCATCCCCACCGTGCCCCTTGCCAAGTCCACTGATAGGGGGGACCTCCTCCCCATTCATCTGATCCTGTTTTATCAGGTATCTTCAGGACTGGCTGTGAAGCCCTCCTCTGTGGCCTAACAGGACTGCTCCTCCCTTGGGGGGTGGGGAGGCCAAAGAGCCAGTCATTGAGTTCCTGTTAGAAATAGTCCTTGTGGTTTTTTATTATTTTAAAAAACTATTTGTATATGTCTCTGTCTGTGTCTGTGTCAGAGTATGTGCATTTAAATGAAGGTGCCCTCAGAGGCAAGAGGCCTCAGATCCCCCTGGAGCTGGAGTTAGAGGTAGGTGTAAGTCACCAGATACGGGTATTAACAGTAAAACTCAGCTCATCTCCAAAAGTAGTACACTCCTAACACTAAGCTATCTCCCTAGCCACAAGATTTAGCATTTTCACAACTTGAAGAACACAGTTCTATCCTCTCCAGTTCTCTCTATCACTCCCTTCTTTCATAAGATTCCCTGCACTCTGCACAAAATTTCGCTATAAGTCTCAGCATCTGCTTTGATACCCTGCTGGGTAGAGCCTTTCAGAGGTCTTCTGTGGTAGGCTCCTGTCCTGTTCCCTGTTTTCTCCCTCTTCTGATGTCCATCCTCTTTGCCTTTCTCAGTGAGGACTGAGCATCTTACCCAGGGTCCTTCTTGATTAGTTTCTTTAGGTGAACAGATTTTAGTATGTTTATCCGAAAGACCTGGAGGGGACAGGAGCTCCACAAGGAGAACAACAGAACCAAGAAATCTGGGCCCAGGGGTCGTTTCTGAGACTGAAACTCCAACCAAGAACCACACATGGAGATAACCTAGAATCCCTGCACAGATGTAGTCTATAGCAGCTTAGTATCCAAGGGAAACAGGGACTGTCTCTGACATCAACTCAGTGGCTGGCTCTTTGACCTCCTCCCCCTGAAGGGGGGGGCAGCCTTACCAGGCCACAGAGGATGAGACATGATAGGCTAGGGTCAGAGGGAAGGGGAGGAGAACCTCTCTTATTAGTGGTCTTGGGGAGAAGTATGGGAGGAGATGAGGGAATGTGGAATTGTGAGGGAAAGATGGAAGGGGCTACAGCTGGTATACAAAGTGAATAAACTGTAATTAAAATAAAAAAATAAAAAAGAACAGTTTTGTTCTACAACTATCACTGTCATCTCCAGACTGAAATTCAGTATCTTTAATTTTGAGTAAACTCAGTCAATTAAAATAAATTACTAGTAATTGTGATTCTGGCACCAATAGAAAACAAATATTTTTCATAATGTATTGTATCTATGAATAGGTATGTAAAAATATTGTTCACATTTGAAATGAGATGCATCACTCAAGACCTTTTCATTTAATATAAAAATACTAGATGACTAGCTCATTTCCAAAATAAAAAGTATTCCATCATGTTATAGTGTAAAAATGTTCCTTGGAAATTCACCTGTTCTGTTTTATTTACTTCAAAACACTGTTTTACAAAGGAATTGACAGGTTTCACTAGACCACCAAAGAAGGTCACAGGATTTCAAAAAAAAGTGAAGACATTCTCATCGGATAGATATGTTCTTGATAGATGGACTAATTAAAGTCATAGCTACCCTCAATACACAGTAACAGCTTACTAACAGGTGTCTATGAGGTCTCAGAACTTTGCTTTTCTGTTGATGATGACATCTTATCAAACGTGGCACCGTGTTCATCTGGCCCTATGCGTTTAGCTATTAAGATAAACCTATCTGTGTATTTTCTTTGACAAATGGTACATTTTGGATTTCAGGAGCTATATATGAATGAGTTAGTGTTGGAAAGAGAAATGGTAAAAGCACCAAACAGAAGAAAGAAGACTGACAGGGCTGATGAGGGAGAAGTGTTTGCTACCTTATTACAATGGCCAATCAACACCAGATAGGTAAAATAAGACAGGCGTAGAAAGAGAAATACTGTATACCTTCAGTTGTATGTGGAATCTAAACAAACAGAAACACAGACCGAAATGGTGACCCTAGAGACTGAAGTGAGGTGATGGAGAGACCTAGGATAAGTTCAAGAAATCAGTAGCACTGATCACTGTAAGATGATGATGTATATAGTTGAAATGTGCTAAGACTAGTTTTTAAAATTATGATCTAAAGTAATCCAGATGTTGATTCACTACCTTTGACCATTCATTGGCCTATGCAAATACAAAACATCCTGTTATGCACAATACACACAGTTTTTCAATTAGATTTTCAAAATTTAAAACACCAAACCCATCAACAATGTAGGGCAACAGTCATTGAAGAAAGCCAAGGAATTTCACACCCTACAAGCAAAGGTGAGCCTGGCAATCCCAAATATTCAGGAGGCTAAAGCAGAAGGATTTAATTTCAGGGCCAGCCTAAGCAATCCTCTCATTGCCCAAAAGGAGGGGCATGGGTACAACTCAGTGATGGAATGCTTGCCTAGCATGTGCAAGGGCTTCCGTATGTTCAATCTCTAGTCCTAAAAAAATAAACTGATGAGCAAAATAATTCCATAAATATTTTTCAGACACACCTTTTTTAAAATAAAAAAAAAATAGACAAAGTAACCTGTACAGAATTAGAGGCAATGAGGCAGTATGAAAATCCTAGAGTAGAGTTTGAGAGCTACTAATCTGTCCTACTTCTACCCCTGAAATGAATTTCTTCTCTTAGTCACAACATTTAATGTGGGATGGCACTGGGTATGTTATAACCTTTTGCTGTGACCACTATTTGACACCTTTCTGTGCATCTCATGTTTTCCTTACTATTCAAACAAACAAGCAAACAAACAAACAAACAAACACTTCTCTAATGTTGAAAAACATCTAGAGGCACATTCTCTGAGTTTCACTGTGCTTCTGTCCCACAGCAGAGGTCTACAGATCTGGATCTCAGTGCACAAATATAAATCCTTTATGCAGTATGATTAGCCTGGAACCTGATACAGAAAGAGCCAATCAGATTGTTTTCCCTAGGAATCGGAAGCTGAAACCCAGTCACTTGTTCTTTGAAGTATGCGCATGTAAGCAAGGGTGGAAAAGCTACATTTAGAGATATGCATGCTGAGGCAGACAGCTTAGCATGCTTCTCAACTCAAGGCAGTACATGGCTCTGCAGAGAAAGCCAGACATATCTCCCAGAGTTCAGCTGCACCTGCTACTCAGAACCTCTTTATTCACATTCCAGAGGCCTCTTTAGGCTGGGATTCATCCACATGTGGCCCCAATTGTGGACGCTCATGTTTCTCTCTCTCTGGAACCCCACAGGAAAGCTCATGACCATCTTGGCCTTCTCTTCTCAAATCCTCTTCAATATCTCATCAGCCCCTTTAAAAAGGAAAGCATGAAGAACTCATCCAGCCAGCATACCTCAGGTCTGCCAATGCTTCTGAGGACCCAAGCTCTAACCTCCTCTGGCTACTCCCGGCTCAGCACTGAGAGAGTAACCTTCTTAGAGGATGCCATTTTGAAATTTATAAATAATGTTTTCTGGTGTTGAGCTGGTTTTCTGGTGTAGAGGGTGGAGGGCAAGAAGAAAGACAACAGCAAAAGAAATCAATGGAGAAAATATCTCCAGACTATAAACTAAGGATATTAACATTAGACCTGCCCCAGATTCTAACAGTGGCGATTTATTGAATACTTACTATGAAGAGGGGCTAGACTGGGTTATTTTTAAAATACGATGATGGTGAGCATATTTACTAGGTACCTGGAACCCCATTATTAGCAGTTACCTTGTGTAATCCTGCAGTCATCTTGTACAAAGGTTGGCAAGAACAACTCTTCGGAAGAGTTTAATAGAAATGTCTAAAGAGCATTTTATAGGCTTTGCTTCAGTGGCATCTCTTGACCTCCCCACACCACAGACCACACCCTTACATGTCCACTCCATGTGGTAGGGTGTAAGATGAAAGTGGGGGTTCTTTAGGTGACACTGGAAGTAAAGGGGAAAAACTAGAGGTCTGTAACTCTCACCAGAATATGGTGATATCGGAGCTGAAAGAGATCTTCAAGGGTCACTAAATTCAAATACTCATCTATCTGTAAAGGCCAAGGCCATTTTTCAAAATTCACCTCTTACTAATTTTATGCAGGTATACAATGTATTTTCTTATCATAGCAAACACTTCTTTCCTCTTCCAGAGCTCATCATCACATCTCGCTCCTAACTAAATGCTGTATTTTCCATAGTCTACAGAGTCCAAGCAGAGCTGTCCCTATGTATATGGGTGTTGGGTTATCTACTGAAACACTGGCATCTTAATAAAAAGACCTCTTCCTTAAAGAAAACTGACACTCCTTACCCCAGCAACCTCTGACTGTCAAAGTTCCTGCAGTAGGGGTGGGACTTCCTGAACCCTTCCCCAATCTGTGTTGGAATTTTGACTGTTTTCATCTTATGTATGTCCTGTGCAGGCAACTTTTGAGGTAAGAAATCTTTGAATTTCCTAATAAAGTCCTCCAAAGCACAGACAAATCATGTATGAACTGCCCGGGGTTCATACAGAACCCATGATTCAGGAACAATATACCACATTTATTGTTCAGTCTAAGTCTTAACTAAGCAAATATCACAGATCAGATACAATGAACCTCCTTTATTGTCTCCTTTTCGCAGACAAGCAATCCTAAGTCCCCAGATCTGTTCACCATGTGAACTGACCCTTCAAAGACTCGTTACTGAACCCAAGAGAAGTGCATTAACAAGAAGCCGATTCTAGAACTGGAATCTTAGATTGCTTTCTCAGCTTTGCCACACTCCAAACTGCTTTCACTTGGGGGGCTCTGTACTTCACCTTTTCCATCTACAAAATGGGATTAAGAAATGTCTGCCTGATAGCATGCAAATAGTGCTCTGAGAAAGTGAGCTGCTGTTGTTTATAGGAACACAACACAGGCATGCCCTCCAGTTAGTGAAGGCAGATTCTAAAATGTTTCCTCCCTAGCGGATAAGCAAGACATACTTATTGGACCATGAAATGCGGAGCATGGAAATGAACCTGTGTCTACAGGCATGACATCATCCACACACACGTGCCTAGTAAGTAATTTTTCCTCCACCTAATTTCTCTGGGCCCTTCCAGACTCTCACAATTAGGCCCTACACACAGGAACAAGGATGAGGCAGTTAGCTAATTGTACTGTGTTGCCAGGAGAAAAGCCAAGCTGTGGTCCCTTTCACCCAATCCCGGTGCCCTCTCTCAGTTCCCCTAGGGGCCTGGAAAAGCAGCATCATGAATACCGGTCCAGCCATCTCCTTTCCCACCACAACACACACACACACACACACCACCACCACCACCACCACCACCACCACCACCACCACTACCCACACACCACCCTTGCGAGGGGAAGGCCACTCTGCAGTTTCGCAGGCCCAGGAGGGAGGCTAGGGCAGGCAGTGCCTGGACGCCTACTGTTAGTCAGCTTGACTCAGAGCTTCCTTGTGGGCCTTGGTTAGGCTGCAGTCTGTAGGTCTCAGGGGCTTTGAGCCAGAGTAACACTCCTTTTATTTACCCAGGGTTTGGATTCTCTGAATCCACCCATGCCTCTCTGGATCTGCTTTTTGAACTGTTCAAGGAGTGATGAGCAACCCGGCCTCTTGGGGGTGCTATGCAAGCACCGCCCACCGCCAGCCAGCCCGCCAGGGAAAGTGCCCTCTGCAGACTCTTAGATTCACCTGGAAAACCTGTTTTCACTTGCCAGCCAACCCCTTGGCTGTATGAACAAGAATGTTTCCTAACCATTTGTCCCATTTGGGGCAGGTGACTCAGCCTCTCTGCACATCAGGCTTATGGTGAAATGAGAAGATGTCAGTATCAACATTGTAGGGTTGTAAAGAGATCAAAATGAGCCTATCTCCTCATAGCTACTACACAGTTGTCTCTCATAAATGTGCTTCTTGATGCTTGCCAGTGAGAATGGGTGCAGGGGCAGAGCTGAAGCAAGAGCCACAGCATCTCTGTTCCTGCCAAAAGAGAAGGCAGACTGTAATAGGTAGACATGTAATTAAGGGCTTGAATTTTGTTGGGTTGCAGGTGAAGGCATTGGAGAGTTGCCCTCAAGAGAGTGTGAGGATGTGCATACAAGCAAGAAGCAATCTAGGTGTCTTAGGACTTTTTAAATCAGGGAGCAGGCGAGGCTGTCATTCTAAATGTCCTTCAAACACCGGAAAATTCACTGGCTTTTCTTGGGAAAATAGTGAAAGTGATAACTCTAAAACAAGCGTGGAAAACTTTCTTAAAAACGAATAGATGGGAAATTTCTTTTTACTTTCCTGTTATGGGGGTCTTCCGTAGAGACTACTCCAGTTTGCTTTTATAGCCAGAAAGCTTACGAAGTGTGGCTACATTTTCCTATGAATTCTGTTATAGATAATAAAATTTAAATTTAGAAGATGATATTTTTGAATTCATGCAGTTTTCACTTGTCAGGAAAGATGTCTCGGAACTTTAGACGCCAGCTGTTTTGAGACATGGTTTCACATATCCCACCCAGGCTGGCTTTACTTCCCTGGATAGCCAAGGATAACTCGAAGTTCCCGATCCTTCTGCCCACACTTCCCAAAGGTTGGGGTTACAGTGGTGCATCCACCCCATTGTCCAGTTTTCTGTGCTACTGGAGACTGAAGCCAGGGCTTTGTGCATGCCAGGCAAGCAATCTACCAACTGAGCGCCATCCCCAGCACCTTTGACCTGAAAATAGGAGAAACATTCCTAGCTTTCAGACTATGTGAAAAAAAGATAAAATGCGGGGGCGTATCCATTTGGGTTCATGCTTACTTTGCAGTTTCCTGCTGTAAAAGAATAGGGAGGGAGAAGAACAAAGACTTTTCTCCAGTGCTCCATTGGCAGCAGACGCTAAAATTGGAACAGTACAGAGAAGACTAGCCTGGCCTATGTACAAGGATGAAATGCAAATTTTTGAAGCTGCTCCTCCTCTCCATCACCTTTCTCCCTTTCTCCTTCTCTCCCGCCCTCCTGGGAAATCTCTTTTCTTGAAATGGCTATCTCTCTGCCTTAATGCACATACCTAAATCTATATTAAAATGTAATCACAATAAATTCTAACTTTGTTTTTTTTTTATTTTTCTTTTTAGTTACATTTTGTTAACTCTGTGTCCCAGCTGTATCCCGCTCCCTCATTCCCTCCCCAACCCCACACTCCCTCCCTGGTCTCCTCCCTGCCCCTTTCCAAGTCCCCTGATAGGGGAGGACCTCCTCCCCTTTCATCTGACCCTGTTTTATCAGGTATCTTCAGGGCTGGCTGCAAAGTCCTCCTCTGTGGCCTAACAGACTGCTCCTCCCCTGGGGGGGGGGGTGTCAAACAGCCTGCCCTTGAGATCCTGTTAGAAATAGTCCGTGTTCCCCTTACTTTGGAAAACTACTTGGTTACTGAGCTACCACAGGCCACATCCGAGCAGAAGTTCTA